GGCTTTTCCCCCCCGTGCAGAAGCAGCCGCAGCCGGGGCAGCACTGGTGCTTCACCATGCGGCTGCGGTGGTCCTCGCACAGCACCAGCAGCGGCGCCCTGCTGGACGGGCGCATCAGCTCGAACTTGACCACGCTGTTCGTGCACCGGCCCAGCTGCAACCAGACGAGACCAGGGTCAACGCAGTCTTGGGGACAGCTCCCGTCCTGGACCCGGAAGGGCCCAGCCATGACAGGTGCTCAGCCAGGAGCTGACCAAGCGAGCAGCGGGTCAAGGCTGGCTGGCGTTCCCACACGCCTGCAGCATAGGGGTCAGGGCCCAGGGGAGGAGGCCACCACAGACGGTGATGCGCCGTGGCAGAGGGCCACCACAGACAGTGATGTGCCGTGGCAGAGGGCCACCACAGATGACAGCGATGCGCCGTGCAGAGGGCCACCACAGATGGCAGTGATGCGCCATGGCAGAGGGCCACCACAGATGGTGGTGCACTGTGGCAGAGGACCAGGAGCCCTTCTTGGACAGAAACCAAGGACGGCAAGGTGGGAGAGGGCTTGGCTGGAGTCAGAGGGCAGTGGATGTGTGCGTGCAGGGGGCCTGGGCCATCGGAGGCCAGCCGTGGGCAGAGTAGTGAGACCAGAGCCCTGGGACCTGGGACCAAGCATGCTGCACACAGGGCCTCAGGGCTGCAGTAGGAAATGTAGAGGGACCGAGGTCTTGGCCCCTCAGGGCTCTGAGCTGGGGCAGAGGGCTGCTGGGCACGCGGACCCCCAGTGCTCCGGCACGTGGCCACGCACTGGCGTGGGCTGCTGGACGCAACGTGAAGCTCTGACAGCCACTAAGAAAGCCACAAACACCCAAGAGAGTGAGAGCTACAGTACCCTGCACACATGACAGAGGACTCGGCTTCCTGGCCAAGAAATGCAGCAACTCACCGGGGAGAGCAGGACTGTAGACCCTGCCTGTCCCCATGAGGCAAACGCACACAGGAGGCTCAGAGACTAGGGTGGGACAGAGCAGGGTGGCTCTCGGCACCCAGCCCGAGTACTCTCAGTGACTCTCAGTAAGGGGACATTCCGTCCCTGCCTTCCAGGGACAGCTGGCAGTATCTGGAGACACTGACGGCTGTCACAGTCAGAGAGTGTAACTGGCCTCTCGTGGGTACACACCAAGGGTGCCCCCAACAGCCGGCACCACAGGACGGCCCCTAACCATCACCAGCCCCAGCACCGAGGGCGCTAAGGCTCCTAAGTCCTGCACTAGAGGGGTCTGACTGCCATAGCAGCAGATGCGAACAGGGCCGAGATGTTGTGGAACAGACTGGGAACTTGACGGCAAAGCACACAGGGCCAGCTCACAGCCTGATGTTACAGTGACTAGACCCCACATGGCCCACTGCATGGTGTGTATTCTGGACTCAGCAACTTAAAAAACACACTGTGTGTGTGTGTGCCCCAAATCCCTAAACGAGGGAGAGAGAGGAAAAGGGACTGTGGTGTGATCGTTTCCTGTGAGGGGGGCTTTCTCAGCTTCATATGCCTCCTCCTCTCTGGCAAGTGTACTCACATGCAGGCAAATAAAAGAAAAAGAAAATAGAATGTAATTGTTACAAATTTAAAAACAGGGTAACAGAAAAACACCTCTGACTAGCTCAAAGATGTGCTCAATAAGGAAGAATTAGTGACTATTTTTAAAGGCTAATACAAACTATCTAACCCTGAAATATGAACAAACAAAAAAAGCAGAACTTGCAGAATCGTGGGACAGTGATGAACCCCCACGTGCATGCGACTGGAGCCCCGGAAAGAGAAGAGAGGCAGCACAAGGCTGAAGAGACAGAGGCTGGGCAGGGGCTCCTGACTAAACAGGTGCAAGAAACTCAGAGAAGAAGAGCAAACGTTCCATGCCATGCAGACAGAACGGAAGCGTAAAATCTTTAAGTCAATAAAGAAAGATGAAGTGAGAATTCTGGAGCAGCCAGAGGAAGAACTGCCCTTGTGAGGGGCAAAGGTTAAGAGCTTGCGGCTGGGTCTCACTAACGCCCAGGTGGGTGGGGACAAGCCCGATGCCACCAAACAGCCTTGAGCAACTGCAGGTGCTTCTTAGATTTCACTCATCTTCTGAGAGAGGAAACCCCAGCGGGGCCTCCCATGGCTCGGATGTGGGCACGTGTGCAAGCCCAGTCACCAGCCCAGATCCGGCCCACTTTGCCACCACCCAGCCCATGTCTTTGAAAACAGAAGGTGAGAAAACTCATTACCAGCTGACCTGAGCTACCCAAACAAAGAAGCCGGTGGGGTCATTAGCAAATTAACGCCAGGTGGTGGGCGGGCCTGGATGAGGACATCCAGACCTCTAGGTGCGATTTCCGATGAGGGTGAAGACATTCTAGGGTCGACAACCCTGAGTGACAACCGACCACTTGAAGTGGAACAGCAGCGGCAGGCGGGCTTCTCGGACTCAGCGCGTCAAGGCGGGAGGGAGCGTTCGGACCCGGGCGACCGTGAGACTCCTACTCTCCACTCTCCTCCCTTGCGGAAGGCAGGCTCTGTAAGGCACCACTGTGAACAGGAAAAGGTGGGACAGCCCACCAGGACTGGAATAAATCGGACTCACAAAACATTTCAATCCAAAGGAGAGAAAATGAGGAAAAAGGGAATAAGAGATGGTCTAAGTGGAAAACTATCGAGAGGTTGAATCATAATAATTACTTTAAACAGAGATGATCTAAACACACTGACCTTTAAAAAGACAGCTAAGTTCAAAGAGCAAACTCAAGTAGGTGGCACCTGTGAGAAACTCACCGTAAAGGCCAAGGCAGAGGCAGAGCCGACGCGGAGGGCTGGGCGGGAGCACGCGCTGAGGCAGCCCACCCGGAGGTTCCGGTTCAGGTCTGAAGACCTGCCTGAGTGCCAGCCACACGCCTGCCCACAATCCAGGGAGGCGAGTGGCTGGGGTGGAGTGCGGTGTCAAGAACCTACCGGATGCGACCTCTCTCTGTCTCTGAAGAAATATTAAACTTTCTAAATCAGGAAGAGGACAGAAGAGATGTGCCATCAGACACCGATCCGAAGAGCGCTGAGACGCCATGTCGGAGCCGGCACCGTGGACCTCCTGAGCTGGACCCTTCCTTGAGGCAGACGGGGACGCTGCACACGACGGAATCGGGTCACCAAGAAAATCTCCAGGGCACACATGCCAACAGAGAACCCTGTGCAGTCTGACAGGTGGACAGGACACGGCCTGCAGCAGACTCTGGGGCTCTTCCTCAACGCCGGTGCAGCAGGCGCAAGGGGGTGGAAGGCCCACACGGGACGCGTTGTAGTCCCTGGACGCGCTGCACCTGTCAGAGCTTCCAGAACCCTGCGTGGAAGTGGTGATGGCCCCAGTGTGTCCACTGCACCCCAGCCTGACCGCACATACAGCAGACAGCGCTGTGTCCTCTGAGGGGCTGCTCTGGCCAGCCCAAGACTGAGCATGAGCACAGGGCACGGCAGGGCCCACAGCACCACACAGAAGGGGCACCCAGAGCAGACCAAACCCACGGACAGTAAACCAGCTCACGTGACAGCGAGAGGGCAGGGCGAACGGCCAGCCTGAGCTAGGGGCCGGTATGGTGGGCAGATGGGGAGTGCATACAGCACTGCCTAGACTGGGGTGAGGGGGCCCTGGAAGCAGAGCAGGTTCCTCCCGAGGGGCTGGCCCTCCCGCACTGGGGAGGCCACAGGGGCCATGAGCATCCAGAACTCTCCAACGTGGCCCCCAGCCAGCCCTTGAGCCTGGACCCTGTGCTGGGAGCAGAGTCGGAATGGGATGGAGACCACAGATATGGAGCACGAGGGTGGTCCACGGTTCTGGGGCCTCTGGTGACAAGGTCTTCTGATACTTGAGACTTCTGTTCATGTGGGCTGCATCTACCAGCGACCACACTGCAAGTGGAGTAGGGACGTCGTAAACACCATTTAAAGCTAACAATAGACTTAGGTTAGCATGGACAACACGTTTTAAAGAAAACTATTTTAGAAAGAAAAATTTCAGTGAGTGGCAGTGTTTTAGTTATTATCTGCAAAAGTCTCTCACATCTACTCGACGTAAGAAAGCGGGATCATGTCTGCTTCTGCAGCGGACACTCCCCTCTGACACCACAGCCAGACTCGGCAGGCATGGCTTAGCGACGTGCAGCACGTGACACTCAATCACCACTTTGCCCACCGCCCACTTTCTTTCCTAGCACTGAGTGGGACTCCTGCCCTGCACGGTCCCGCGGCACCACGGCCGTGGCATACCTCGTGGCCACACGACAAGGGGCATGGAAGGCCTGCCTGTCATCGTGACAGCTGTGACCTCTGACCCCATGGGGGGCTGACGATGAAGAGGGTAACAAGGCAGGGGACCAGCAGTTAGCGTAATGGCTATGTCGCCAGACTCCCACGTAGTCGACCACGGTTCACGTTCCGGACCCGTGGCTTAAACTCACGCCGGGCGGGTGTGCGTGCCCAGGATCCTGAGAGGAGAATGGAGGAGAAGGGATTGCGGCATGGCCATCCCCCCTGGGGGGTGATTTCTCGCTTTCTGTCTCTCTGTCTCTCTCTGTCTGTCTGGCGAGTGCATGCGCCCTATAACCCGTGGCTTAAACTCACGCCGGGCGGGTGTGCGTGCCCAGGATCCTGAGAGGAGAATGGAGGAGAAGGGATTGCGGCATGGCCATCCCCCCTGGGGGGTGATTTCTCGCTTTCTGTCTCTCTGTCTCTCTCTGTCTGTCTGGCGAGTGCATGCGCCCTATGTGAAAACCTCTCCAAAAAAAAAAAAAAAAAAGAAAGAAAGAAAGAAAAGAAAAGAAAAGAGGGTAACAAGGCAAAAGCCAGGACAACCTGTGTCTCCACGCAAAGAAGTGACCCGTCAGGCGTTCATACACAAGCCCCACTATGCTCTGGTTTGCACGCGGGAACGCTTGGATAGGGAGCTGCAGGTGCAGGTGGCGAGGCCTCCAGGGAGCCAAGGCCGGGTCCCACAGATAAGGACAGTGCAGGTCAGGGAGCGGCACAGAGGCCGAGGACAGACAGTGACAAGGGACAAGCACGCGGCAGCATCACCGCTCGGGAGGCCAAAGAGTGGCTATTCAGTGTGTGGGAGGCGGGGGTAGGAAGCAGCTGCTGGG